TCACACTTCGTTATACAACTTGAGCCAACGCTCCTCAAGGTTCATAGATCACAATTCCTTCCACAAACTTTATACCAGAAATAGGAACCACCACTAAGGCATGAAAGATACAACAAAGTCATGATAATCACAATATAAAGACTCACGGGCATGCTAGACACCAACATATAGATACTCTTCACCATGCATATACGTCGTACTCAACAATTACCACATAGCAAATAGGACTCAACTCTTAATCCCTCAAGCTAAGGTTAGACCAAACACTTACCTCGAACTTCCACGGCCAACTCAATCCTCAAACACCACCTTTCCTTTCGAATTCGGCTCCAAATCAATTGTATCTAGACATAATCGAGTTAATAACATCAATAAATGCTAAACAATCCAATTCCAATACTTAATTATAGCTTTCTAATCATTCTTCCCAAAAATTCAAAAAACGACCCCGGGCCTGCTTGGTCAAAACACGAGGTTCAGACCAAAACCCGATCACTCATTCACCAAATATATAGTTTGTTTTGAAATCCGACTCCAAAACAAGGTCAAATTCTCAAATAATCAAAAAGCCCTAACTCTTCCCAAATTGCTAATTTTCTGCCCTTAATCACATTTTTTAGGCTTAGAAATCTAGTGGGTGTTGATAAAAATGGAAGAAAACGAGCTTAGGATTACATATCTATGAAGCTATGGTGAAGTTCTTCTTCAAAAATCTCCCAAGAGGTGTGGAGAAGATGAAGTTTGTGAAAAATAATGAAAATCCCGTATGGCATTCTGTTTTTGAAACATAAAATAACTGGGCGAAATTGGTCATCGCGTTCGCGATGAGTTAGGTCTGACAGACCTTCGCGTTCGCGGAGCTTTGGCTCCTCAAGCCTACGCATTGGCGGGCCAGTGGTCGCGTTCGCGATGCACAAAATGGTGATCCCTCCCCAGGCCTTAACCATACGCGTTCGCGAGTGCATGGACGCGTTCGCGAAGCGTATTCCCCCTTTAGCCTCGCGTTCACGTCTCAAGCTTCGCGTTCGCAAAGAAGAAATCTGGCACCTGGGAAATTTGCCTTACACGTCCGCGAGAGGGACCACGCGAACGCGAAGAGTAAAATCCCTTGGTACTGAACATCAGAAACATGCAACTTTCTGAGTCTAAAAATCCACCCCGTGGCTTATCCAAAACTCACCCGAGCCCTCGGGGCTCCAAACCAATTATATACACAACCTCAAAAACATCCCACTGACTTATTCGTGTACTCAAATCACCAAAATAACATCATGAACATCGAATTAGACCTCAAGATCAATGAAATTTCTCAAAACTCCTTTAAACATCAAATTTGCATTTAAGGTCCGAATCACGTCAAACGGATTCCGTTTCTTACCAAACTTCACAGAGTTATCTTAAATCATATATAAGACCTGTACTGGGCGCCGAAACCAAGATACGGGCCCGATACCAGCACGTTCTAATCAAAATTCATTTCCAAAACCTTTAAACTATTTCAAAAAATAATTTCTTTGAAAATTCATTTCTCGGGCTTGGGACCTCGGAATTCGATTCCGGGCAAACGCCCAAGTCCCATATTTTCCTACGGACCCTCCGGGACTGTCAAATTACGGGTCCGTTTATCTAAAATATTGACCGAAGTCAAATTAATTCATTTTATAGTCAAAATTTATCATTTTTCACAGATTTTCACATTTAGGCTTTCCGGCTACGCGCCCGGATTGTGCACGCAAATCGAGGTGGTGCTAAGAGAGGTTTTTAAGGCCTCGGAACGTGGAATTTTATTTTTAAACAAGTGATGCCCGAATCACAACTCTCTAATTTTAATACTATTGGTGGATTTGTTATAAAATTTAAATATAACTACAAATGATAATTTTCTAAAAGAATAGTTACAAATGATAGATACTATATATATATTTGTTGTGTCACGTACGTAGGTTTCCCTTCATTCTTTTTCTTACAATTGGGATTTTCAAAAGGCAGGTTTCTAGTAAAAGTGCTCAACATACATTGGGCAGTGAGAAGTCTGTGAGAGTAGCGGTGTCTATATGGGCCAAGAAATGTTGGATTTCAGGTCCATGTTCTTATCTTTCTCTGGATCAAACTCATACTTCCATACATTTGCACAAAATGAATGGACGAAAAGAAGAGAAGAAATTAAAGAAAAGAAAAGAAAAGAAATAAAATGAAAAATATATATTTATAGCTATTTTTAAAAATAATATATATATATATATACTTATACTTTTGGCTAGGAAATGCAATTATTTTCGGCCAATTGACTAATTTTATATTTTGTCCCAAGAAAATCCCATTATGATTCGTGACAAAGAAATTTCACTTTTTCTTTTTCCTAAAAAATCCTTAAAAATCATCAAGATTTGTTTGGTCGCCAGCTAATTAATTATATTGCTTCATTCATTTGTATGTAGAGTGATAGTGCCTTGTCTTCCTTTTCAACTAGTAATAATTAATGATATTTTTATTTCTATTAGCTCCTAGTTTGCTTTATTATTCATGTATACATCATATTCAACCACCACCTTTCTTTGTGGAGGTCCATCTTTCTATGCCATTTTCCCTCCTTGAAACATGGCTTTCATTTTCCTTCAATTTCAATGGCATCATATCAAATTATATAGAAAAGAAGCCAAATCACGGTGCATAAACTATAATTAGTTTAAATAATAATTGGTTAAATAAAGACACGGGAAAGGAACCAAGATTAGTCTTATGGTGGCAAAAAGGCCTACATATGCAAATAATAATTTTAATTGATTAGCTAGGGGTTGTTAATAGTAATCTAGCTATAATACCCTCTGAACAGAAAACTATTACAATAATTTTGTTTTAAAAAAGGGAAGAAAATGATGTGACAAATAATTTAATAATAGAAATTATCTGGTTATATTCTTTCCTTTTAGAAAAGCTGGAGCAAGTGTATTCTGCAAAGAAGAATAATGTCTGGATATAATTATGGAATTTGTACAATTTTGGATGAGTGAATTGATATCTCTTTAGAAAGCTGATGAGTGAATTGATAACTTTCTTTTTCTTCCTTCACATTCATTTTTGTTTGAACGTGGATTTCTCAATTTCTTCAATTTGTGTAAATCTTACTTTGGCCTTATTAATGATCATCGCTTTCATTCCTAAGGTAAAAGTGAAAAGGAAATAGTTGAAAATGCTTAGTTAATACTTGACACAACCAAAGGGAAAATAAAACAAAATGATCCAAATTAATCAATATTATATTTTTTAGTACATAATTAATAACCAAGCAGAGCGAAACCTAATTTGTTTGGGACTTGGGTATAATTATATATAGTTGTTGGTTGAAAAGAATGCATGCCTAGCTAAGCAGTAGTTGCTCAAAGAATATCAATCTATATTCACCCCGTTGATTATTGTTGTTTTAGGTTTTCAAATTAAATTGGCTACATTATGAAAGCTCTATGATGTTGAAGATTTGAAGATAATTGACAAGAACAGTGGTACCAACCATTATGGAGTATTAGCTTTCTGGTACAGTTGGCTTAGGTAAAACCGTCCAATGCAATCTAAATCATAGACTTCTAGGTTTAAAAAAAAAATGTTTCCAAGCAGAAGCCTTTTAAAAGATGAATTATTTGACATTTGTTTAGAATATAATTATTCTTCTCACCAAATTATGACACGCTAATTAACAAAGTTTAGCCGACTCCTTGATTAAAAAATAAATAAAAATAAACCAACGAATTTTCAATATTTTCTTTGTGGAACAATAGCATCTCTATTGGCACTAAAAAAGAGTTCCTAATCTTCGACTAGCTTCATCATTTTAAGTATGAAAATGACCGTTCTGAAAAAAAAAGTAAATAAAAAGAACGCATTAGCAGGGATTAGTTAGGACTTAATTAGGCCACCCCCCTTAAGCATTGATAATAACAATTCAAATAAAAGACAATTAGACAAAGGCATATTTTTAAATGTCTTCAATTCAGCAGCGGCAACTCGTGGTTTTCCATACTACTAATAAATAGTAATAACTAGCAAAAATAGTGAGTAGTACTTTAATGTTCATACAGAATGGGTTAATGCTTGATTAACACGTTGTTCTAATCAATTTGCTGGACTAGGCCAAGTGAAGCCGGTAAGTTGTTCATAACGGGTGAGTAGGCAAGTGTCATTTACTTGTTTACATAAACTCAGTAACTTTAGCCTAGACCCTATATATATATTAAACAGTCCACCTAAAATCAATTGATATTTGTCATTTTTTACTGTAACCATTCACTATTATTGTATATTAATTTTAGATCGTCATAAGAATTAAAGCTTCTAGGAGTAGGGACGACATATAATTAGTGGTGGTAAAATAGATTAAGAAAATTAGTTATCCATCGATGCTATCCACTAAAAAAATGAGTTAGCGTTGAATGGTTAAAAGTATTGACAGCTGTACATAGCTAGATAAGTTAAGTTAGCTGGGAAGTTAGAGCTTAGTTATTTAGACTGTTAGTATAAAATGTGTAGACATGCGATTTTTGACCTTCCCCGAGATTTTTTATATTTTAGCATGTAAATATTTAGTTTAGGTCTAATATCGATATTTCAATTAGTTTTGACTCTTTTACTTTAATTTATCAAAAAAATAAAACTTACAAAAATATTTCTTCTTTTTAGTTGCTTTTAATTTATATACCTTTCGTAAAACTAAAAAATACAAAAAGTAGTACCTTATTTTTATTTTAATATGATATTTGAAAATACCAAAAAATAGGTTTGTTTCAACGATTAGTCTTATCTTAATAGTTATTTTACTTAAGTAGGATTAATTGGTAAATGAGGTCGTATTTTTAGTCTTGTTCACAGAGAAAGAATAAAATCTAGGCTCATACAACCCATTTTCAAGCCTAATTTTCGGATCTAACCCATAATTCCTAAGCCCATAATTCCTAGGCTCATACCCCCTAACCTAAATATAACCCCAGAACCCTAAACCTATAAAGAAAGGGCTAACGCTAGAGACCAAGAAAGGAGGAGGATCAGCCGTTTTTCTAATGGGGAACCTAGACACAAACCCTTTCTTCTTCATGGAAAACCCCTAGAAAAGCTAAGACAAAAATAGCCGCATAAACCAAAATTAGACAACCAGCCCCCCAGAACTTCAGCTTCTACTTCACAAAAGAACGCTAGGCTTCTTCTTCATGAAGGACTAACCTAAAAAACTTACAAGAAACAAGAGCAGCATCCATTTTCCATGGAGCCAAAGCTTCTTCTTCTTCATTGACACGAATCTCAAGAGGCTCCACTCAATGCTATTTGGAATAGAAGTAGCTCTCGAAAGGAAGGATTTAGTTCTGCAACAGTACTTGGATTAGGACCCATCGTCTTTCTTGATTCACATTCTCAGTCCGACGTCGACGATGCCTTCATTCATCCAATTCGCTATGAAGTTTTGTCTAAGTGTCGACGCTCTCTCATTACTGAATCCGACCGCCATGCCTTTGAACAAGCAGACAGAGATCCAAGCTGCATATTTACCAAAGGAAAAGATATCGATATCGAGAAGATTAAGCAGTCTTAGTACTTTCTTTCCTTTTTTCAGCAACATGAATGCATAACTATTGGCGAACAGGGGAATCAATCAAAAAGGCGTGAGAATGTGAGTAGCAGGAGGCTTAGCCCAGTTGCTTCGAGTTTGGGTGTGGAGTTTTCCGGTGCTAATTCGAGTTCCGTCCGCGGTTTGTTACATCTCGAGTTCAAAGTAGTGAAACAATCAATTGTCCGGCTATATTAAGGTTCAACTCTTTCATCCTCCATTCGTTTTATGCAAGGTTGATATTAATTATTTGTTTGGTGATATTATACGGTTGATTCTGTAATCTCTGTGGTTTTGAATTTGCTCGCTCGGTTATCTACGCGTGTTTACTTGAATTGGTTATAGTTGAACATGATTTTGTCACAGTATAGAAATTGGGTTGCTATTCTTCAACTAAATTACTTCAAATTAGATTAAATGGGCTCAGGCGCTAAAGTTTATGAAATTGAGCTTTTTAATAAATTGTCATAGCTACAGGTAGGGTTCCCACGACGTAGTTGTGATGCTTTAATTTCTAAAATTCGAGGCTACATTTATGTGACCCGGCCACAATTTTAATCCTGTTAATAAAATAAACATGTTGTAGATCGTGGGTACGGTTCCCTTGACATGATTCGCAATGTGTATCAAATAAGTAGGTAATTGGCAAGCGTGGATTATTAAAAGCGGTTTTAAAAGGGGTAAAATGCACATTGGTTTCAAAAAATGTTTTAAAATCAGATAAATAGGCCAATAGTAATAGTTGAGCGATCATGCTAAAATCACAGAACTCGGAAATGCCTAACACCTTCTCCCGGATTAACAAAATTCCTTACTCGGATTTCTGTGTTTCGCGGACTGTAAAACATAGTCAATCATTCCTCGATTCGGGATTTAAAATAGGTGACTTGGGACACCATAAATTATCCCAAGTGGCGACTCTGAATTTTAAATAAAATAATCACATTTCGATTGTCACTTAAATTGGAAAAAACTCTCTTATCACCCTTTCGGGGGGTAGAAAAAGGAGGTGTGACAGCTCTGGCGACTCTGCTGAGAAAAAGAACCCAGAATCTCTGGTTCAGAGTGAGCTTAGAATAATTGTTATAATTGGCTTTGTTTATTATCTGATTTTACGTGTTTGGGCCTAATGTGCTAAATGCCGCTTTTTACCGCTTTGATATTATTTAAACTGTATATAAACTGCTGTGAAACCCTTCTCTTCTCATCTTTGAGGAAGTGCATGCTGGCGTGACTTCTTTTCTGTTAGTGTCATACCCTAATTTAGAAAGAGGTTCAGACAAATTACAATACTGGATGACCTTTTGGTTCCCGGTACGTAGCCTCTCCCCCCCCCCGGCTCGAGTNCCCCCCCCGGCTCGAGTTGTCCGCTCGGGTGCACCAAGCCTAGAACAATACACCCAGGTTCTAAACCTAGAATAACTCAGCCTCATGCCAGATCCCTAGTAGGAACGGTATTCACATCATTTGCATTTGACTTTGGGGATTCAACACAGGGGTTGGGCGCGTCTAGGACAGGTGTACCCAAAAAATAAAAGACTATCCTGTTGCATCTTATGTGCTACATGTTGCAATCTTCAAGGGTAAAAGTGGTCATTTGGTGGACCAATGATGGTTGAGGATAAATGAGAAAGAAATAGGGTGAAGTGTAAAAAATAAAGCAAGTAAGGCCTAGTTATGTTCTTCTTTCACATTTTTTTAAAGAAAAAAAAACATGAAAAATCCAAAAAGATTTTGCACTTTCCCATCATTTTCGAAAAAAATAAAAATAAAAAAATCCAAAAAGAGTTTACATATTTCATCATTTTTCAAAACAAAAGAGACAGAAAATATATTTTTCTCTAAATTGTTTGTTTTTTTTAACTTTCACCCGTATCCAATTTGCCAGAGCCACGCATACCTGATTCTCGTCTTTCGGGGCGTGATATGTAGGCAACCCACATAGTATTCAGTCTTCTTAGTGAGTCTTAGGTCCTCGGCTTCGCGGGGTCTAAGCCAAATCTTGCATGTCTAGCCACTTTTGGCCACATCGGTCATTTTACAAAATAGGACTATTTTCGCAAAGTGGTTTGTTTAATTGTCTATGGAGAGTCTCCAATCTACAATTAGGTGTCTCTTTACTTTAAGGTCCATCCTTGTCAAATTTACATATCTACAGCTTTTGGCCACATAGGCAGTTTTGCAAAATAGGCCTATTTTCGCAAAAGAAGTTCGATTAACCCATGTCTTCGAGTCCTAGGTCCACAACAAAGTGTCCTTTATTTTAAGGCCCATTCTGTTGAATTTGCATGCTTAGCCGTTTTTTGCTCACATTGGCCATTTCTACAAAATCAGTCATTTTTGCAAAAGTAATTTTTCCATGCCTTAGAGGTCACCTTTGTTGAGTTTGCACTTCTAGCCGCCTTTTGGCCATGTAGGCTATTTTGGACAATCATGTCTTGCATGTGTCCAACAGGGAGTGTTACTGCCTCACATAGTGTTCTAAATCCTTAACTCTATTTGACTTTAGTTTTCTTATACAGATGTGGATCTACTTACCAGAGTTTGAGCATGACAAACACCCCAGAACCATCTGGTCAGGACCGTTGCATCCAGGAGTTGCTTAAAGAGAAATTTTTTATATTTTGAGTTTGTTTCTTTTTTATGTTGTCTTGTACTATAGTTATATTCAGTAGCAATGATTCTTTTAGTTGGTGTCGGAGTTTGTCGTAGTATAGTTGAATTGAGTCTCTCTTTATCATATTTCCTATTTTGTATTTGAAAATCAAAAAAAGTTGTAAATGAATAATCCAAAAAGACTTTTTTTAGTTTAATTTATCCATTACTTTTCCGAACTACGGAAAGATCTAATTCATGCGGCATCATGATACGTAGGCAACCTACATAGGATTCGATCGAATTATTTTTTTAAGTTAAAAGAAAAAAAAGGAAAAAAAGAAAAAGAAAAAAAGGAAGGTGAAATTATGGGATATGAGAAATGAGAGGAAATAAAAGAGTAATAACTAGAAGAAAAAAAGAGGAAGGAAAATGAGCAAGCAAGTGCTAGAAAAGAAAAGAAAAAAGAAGATTGAAATGAACAAAATTGGGATGATGCCAAGTGACCTTGTGACCGTCGAAGTCATTCTAGAACCGTTAATTTATGTTAGGTGCATTGCATGCAATGTGATATTTTTAGCTGTTAAATGCCCTAATGCTAACAGGATGACCCTATTTTGTTCCTTTTGTTATCGTCGCTGAGCAGAAGGGAGGTTGGTTTGTGGTTATTAAGTAATTCATCCATACAACACAAGGTCAAAGAGCAAGGTAGCCATGACTAGCGAAGACTTGGACACAGGGGTTATTGATCCATCTAAGGGAATTGTTGAATCAGAATCTGAGTTGAAAGAAGAGGTCTTAAGGTTGAAAGGACAGATGACCGAAATATACCAAGCCTGGATTAGTGGGCGTCCTCCACCATCAGTTCCCGCTAACTACACTGAAAACCTTATCACCATTCTGCCACTGTCACAAATCCAGCTTCCTACTTCTACTGATATCTACCTACAACCTTTTCACACTCCACCCGCCAAAACCGCCTCATATCCCGCTCTTTTGGCCACTCATGCTTTTGTAGCTCCTCCACCAGCTACTTTTTCTCCATCCTTTAGCAAGACTGTGTTCAAAATCCCCGATGCCCAACACTATGCTCTAGAACCAACTTTCAAGGTCTCAGATCCATACTCTCACGCTCCTCATTTTGAGCCTCTCGGTGAAACTAAAAAGCTTGCTAAGACAGTGGAGCAAGATGAGATATCCAGGAAGGTAAAAATCTTAGAGCAGTCTCTAAGAAACATGCAAGGGATAGAGAGCCAGATAAGTGTGTCTTACAAAGACTTGTGCTTGTTTCCCGATGTCCAGTTGCCCGCTGGGTTTAAGATACGAAAGTTTGATTTATATGATGGGTGTGGAGATCCAGGAGCCCATCTAAGGGGTTATTACAGTGAAATGAGAAGTGTTTGAGGGAAAGATGATTTTTTGATGGCACATTTCAGTGAGAGTTTGAGTGGGGAAGCCTTGGAGTGGCTTACTCGTCAAAATGTCATTAAGTGGCATGCATGGGGTGACATGACTCAAGATTTTGTTCGGCACTACCAGTAAAATGTAGACATTATCCCGGACCATTCTTCCCTATCTCAGATGGAAAAAAACTCGAGGGAAGTTTTAGGGAGTTTTGGCTCAGATGGAACGAACAAGTTGCTCGGGTCAGTTCTCCGATTGAGAGAAAAATTGCTGCTAAGTCCCGCCAACGACAGGATCCAGTGGGCATTCCAGCTAAACGCTTTCAACCTCAATACCGACCCCATAAATATCCTCGTATTCCAGATAATCCTTCCCAATGCTACTTTCCTTCACAAAATCACCAAGGTCATGCCTCACCTTCCTAGTACTCTATCCACAGTGCACCGCCATTGCTCCATACCCACGAGACTCGCAATGACTTGCACCACCTCCACAAATGTCATACCATCCTCCTCAAGCATGTTAACCACCTACCCGTAGGAGGTTCCAACCGAGGCCATAGTACAATATAAAAAGGCAGCAGGAAAAAGAAAAGACTTTCACTCCTATTGGAGAATTATATGCCAGTTTGTTCCAAAAGTTGAGGCAATTGGACATGTTGAAGTCGATTCAGATAAAAATGTCGAACCCTCTTCTAAAGAATTTTGATTATTCTCAAAGGTGCGCATATTGCTCTAATGCCCCGGGTCACATCATAGAAAAATGTTAGCATCTGAAAAGAGCAGTTCAGAAGCTTATTGATGTAGGTGACATTATCGTGCAAAATCCAGATGCAGTAGACACTAGCCAAAGTGCATCGCCTGTTCATAATGAGACGCATATGGTAGGTATGATTTGTGGTGAAAAGGAATATGAGAATTCTTCTGAGATCCTCGGAGGGCCCTTTGCCGCAAAGTTTTCAGCGCTATCAGTCTTAGTTCCAAAAGTATATCTTAAGAACAAGTTGGCAAAAGGGACCCAAAAGCTATTTGCTGAGGTCGATGTGATTGAAATTGGTAATGATATTGGTAATACTGATGTGGAACTCAGTGGTTAAGATGTCGAGCTTGGTAACTGGAAAGACACTCCCTTTTTGGTTAGTCAAGGAGGAGTTCTGGTGGTTTATTTTGTTGTCATTTCTGTTGTCCGGGTTATTTCAGGGTTGTGATCCGAATATTGTCTTGTGACCCAAACCCTTCTATCCTTTTATTTTTCCTAGTTCGTTTAGTCGTAATAACTCGTTTAGTGTTGTCTAGGTTTGTTTCAGGATTGTAACCCCAGTTTATTTTGCTTATTTTGTTGTTCAAACCCTGTCATCGTCTGTCTAGTGCAATTTCCTATTTTCTGTTATTTCTAGTCATTTTTTTGTTTAGATCTCTTCTTCTTTTATAGTTATTTTCATGTTGGCTCTAGTGACATGACATGCATACATAATTCTAGGTCTGGTCTTAAAATTTATTTTAATCATGAAGCAATAGAACAATTTGAAGATGATAAGGACATTTGAGGGAAATAAGTAAAGACCTTTTGAGATCATTTAAAGCCCGAACCAAGTGAAACTGGGGCAGATAATTTGGTAAGTTAATAGGGTGACAAGAATTCATTCAAGGAGAGTACATCCCAGACAATTTGAAGTGAGCAATTTTGAGTTCAAGTGTACCTCAAATAACAAGATAAAGCCAAGGGAGTTTGCTCTGAACAGACGGAGGGTATCCATCGTGAAGAAGAAATCACCCAATGAGAATTCTATACTTGACAAGGCACTAAAAAAATAAAAAATAAAGTGGAAAGCATATTAGTGATATGAATGTCGAAGATGTAAAAGATTTATTGTGTGTGCTCTTCCTTTTTCGTTTCAAGTTGCATGTGTTGTACTTGTCATTTTCAGGGATTGGGAGGCCCTCTTTCAGCTACCCAAAACACTTATACCATTCGATACCCTTCTGAGCTTGGACTGATTTCTTTGACCTCCCCTCTTTTAGAATCAAGTTAGAGTTATAAAAAAAAGGTTCATGACCCCATAGGTTTATTTTAGAAAGTTTATTCCAAAAGGAAAAAGAGAAAAAAGAGAAAAATAAAAAAAAGAAGGAAAAAAAGGAAAAAAAAAAAGAAAAAGAAAAAGGGCAAAAGTAGTCTTGTGAACTACGTTTGACCTGATTTTTATCACTACAAGATACGTAGGCAGCCTTACGGTTCGGTCATACCAAATAAAATATTTCATAATCCCATAAAGTCGAAAGTGGGGCAGTCTTTCTTAGTAACTCCATCAAAAGAAAAAAAAAGAATCAAATTCCCTTATTTTAGAAATTGGGGCAAAATTTTTTAGAATGGACTCCAAAAGTTGTAAATAAATTAATCCCATTGTCTTAGTTATTTTGAGCCTTTATGATATCCTTTCTTTCTAACCCCGTACAAAAGCCACATTACGGCCTAAAAAGGCCTCTCAGATAATCTTTGAGGGTGCTGAGTTTAGACACGCCAAGAGTATATGCACTTTTTACCATGGTTAATGCCTTGTCATTTGCAGAATTAGAGGAAATAAGAAGAAAGGACAAAATGAGAGAGTCTTATTGGTGAAAATCTTCATAGGCACCATAAGGCAATGGTGAGTTGAGAGAAAGAACAAAATGAGAGAGGCTTTATGGTGAAAATCCTTCGGGCACTATAAGTCGAATAAGGATCGTGAATCAGATTGGATAATCTAAGCACTGAAACCCAGTTTCACGGTTTAGGGGTATAACAAGAGTTGAACATCAGACTTGCTTGATAGATTATGCCACTTAATCCAAAGGTGCATGTCATGGTCATTAGAGTTGGTATCCATATTTGATAAGTTTCTACGTTGTAGTTTTTTGTAAGGAATCATCTCTTTCCATTGTCCTTACTCCATTCCTTTTTGTCTTGTTTACTTCCTCTTCCTGAATCTATTCGGTCCAAACAAGTGAGAAATGACTTCAAAATTTGCCACCAACTTTCTAATTATACAAAGCGGAGTTTGGCTAGTACATCAAAGTGGTTTAAGTCAGGAAAGAATAGTATGCGCACTAAGTGGGTGGTAATTGACGTGCTTTGGGATTCCTGTGAAACACAAAGATTCGGTATATGTCAATACATGAGCACAACACAATAGATAAATGGTATTGGGTTTGAATGGATTAGAGGTATTTTCTGTGATAAGGGTGACAGAGAAAGTGGTCAATCAATAAACAAGCAAGGTCTTTTGAGTTGAAATCAAAGTTATCATGGGAAGTGAAGGAGCAATCACCCTCAAAGTCAAGGACACAAACCAACCACCATGTTTAAACTCACAAGTTTTCTTTGTTTGAAACAGGGACGAAAATTGTGTCCAAATCAAAGCTTGGAAGTTTGAATTTTTTTCAAGTGTCGTGCCCAAATTTTGTCAGTGCAAAGGCGGTTTGAGAAGGGGAAAGAAAAATTTGTTCGATCTGCAGGAACCCTTCATGAGGAAAAGCATGGTTAAGGGGCAAGGAACTTTGTTCGTTCTGTAGAGATCCTCCAAGAATAAAGCATGGCTCAGGTAAGTTCATTCTCGGTTTGTCAAAATCCTCATGGATAATGTGATTTATTTTAAAATCTTCAGGGCCCTCTTGTATAATGGGATTTTATTTTAAAAGTCCTCAGGACCCTCCTAGATAATGGGTTTTAGTAAAATTTTAAGACCTTCATAGTTAACAAGATTTAGCGTAAGTTCTACCTTTAGGAAACATAATTTAGCTTTAAAGTTTTCACTCTTAAGATGAGATTTAATTTAAAA